GTTAGCTCAGAGCCGGTCTTCCTCAGCAAAAAGAGGAGGATTAGCACGGATGTTAGCTCAGGGCTGATCTTCCTCACAAAAAAAAATAATAATAAATAAAATAAATAAAACCTATTAAAAAAAAATAACATGATGAGTTTTGCCTGGAGTTAGACTGACTTTACGGAGAACAGAGATTTCAGGAGGACTGACACATTTCCAGTGTTGGATCTTCACTATGTCTCTTTATTTATTTGGATCTTTTATGTCCTTTGGTGAAAATCTTGCCCATTTCTTCCTAAGTTTATTTTTACATATTTTATAGATTTTGTTACCATCATGAATGGAATTTTTCCCCTTACGTTTTCTAATTGCTTATTGCTGATATAGTTTTTAAGAAGCTTTTGATTTTTGTAAATTAATCTTTTAATCACCTACTTTATTAACTTCCTAGTAGTTCTAATGGTTTTTCATTTAATTTCTCTTGGTTTTTCTAGATGGACAATTATATTTTCTGCAAACAATAACTTTTTATCACTTCATTTGTAATATTTATACATAATTTCTTTCTCTTAAGTTATTTTGTGGCTAACATACCTGAGTGGAGGTGGGGAGGGGTGATCCTGGGAAGTCGTCTTGGCTGTTATGTTCAAGGTGGGTATCAAAGAATGTGCAGCAGGTAAAATAGCAAGGTGATGGAGACTGTATTCCAGCCAGGTCATGAGGAGAGAAACAACAAGGCAATGTCCAGTGGTAGGAAGAAGAATGACTAGAGTATAGGACACAAATGAGGTTGGGAGAAGCAAGAGATGGGTTGGAGAGTAAATAGGGGCACAATCAAAAGCTACTAGGCTTTAAGGAGCAATTACTTTATTCTAAAGGAATTGAGAATTTAATGAAAGGTGTTTTAAGTGGAATGGCCCCCTAAAGATGCCCACATCCTAATCCCTGAAATCTGTAAATGTGTTACCTTACATGGGAAAAGGGACTATGCAAATGAAATTAAGATTATGGACCTTAAAACAGGGAGATTATCACAGCCACTATGGAGAAGAGTATGGAGGTTCCTCAAAAAATTAAAAACTGAACTACCATATGATTCAACAATTCTACTTCTGGGTATGTATCCAAAGGAAACGAAAACACTAACTCAAAAAGGTATCTGCACCCCCATGTTCATTGCAGCATTATTTACAATAGCCAAGACATGGAAACAACTCAAGTATTCACCAACAAGTGAATGGATAAAGAAAATGTGAATATATATATATGTTCACAATGGAATACAATTCAGCCGTAAAAGAGAAGAAAATCCTGCCATTTGCAACAACATAGATGGACCTAGAAGGCATTATGCTAAGTGAAATAAATTAGACAGAGAAAGACAAATACTGTATGATCTCACTTATATGTGGAATCTAAAAAAAATCATCCTCATAGATAGAACACATTGGTGGTTGCCAGAGGCAGGGGCTGTGGAGTGGGTGAAATGGATGAAATGCTCGAAAGATACAGACTTCCAGTTATAAAATAAATAAGTCGTAGGGATATAATGTACAGCATTGTGTACAGCAGTGTAATGTAATTGCAGTAATATAGTGTAATGGTGACTATAGTTACTAATACTGTATGCTATATTTGAAAGTTGCTAAGAGAGTAGATCTTGGAAGTTCTCATCGAAACAAAATTTGTAACTCTGGTGATGGATATTGACTAGACTTGTTTTCGTGATTATTTTGTAATATATACATATATTGAATCATTGAATTGTACACCTGAAACTAGTGTAATGTTATATGTCAATTATACCTCAATACAAAAAAATAGGTAGATTATCCTTGATTATTCAGGTCGGCCCAATCTAATCATATGAGCCTGAAAAGCAAAGTTTCTGTGGCTGGAAGCAGAAGTAAGAATTGGTAGAAGGGGAGGTTGGGGAGATTCAAAGAGTGAGAGGGACTTAACCCACAATGGCTAAGGGGGGCCACATGGAAAGTGTGAGAAGGAATACAGGAGCAAAGATTGTCTGATAACCACCAAGGAAAGGAGACCTCAGCCTGACAGCTTCAAGGAACTGAGTTAGGCCAACAGCCTGAAGGACCTTGGAGCAGATTCATCTCCCGAGTCTAGAAAGGAATACAGCCCTGCTCAGCCCTTGGTGTTGGCCTCGTGAGACCCAACGCCGAGTACCCAGCTGAGCACACTGTTCCTGGACTGTGGCCTACAGAGCTCTGAAATAATAAATTCGTGTTGTTTTAAGCTGCTAAGTTTGTGGCACTTTGTTACAGCAGCAGTAGAAAACTAATACACAGGGGTTTAAGCAGGGAAGTCATGGCAGATTTTGTGTTATTAACAGACTACTCACTGTGCTGTGCAGAAAATGGATTTGGGAGAGTGCAAATTTTGAGGCAAGGAAACTTGTTTGTGGGAATAACAGTGGTGGCATGGACTAGAGTAGTAATGGTTGGACGGAGATTTGATTTGGGATTTATTGGGGAGGTTGGATTTGCCAGAATTTGGTCGTTGATTGGATGTCGAGAATGAGAGAGAGGAAGGACACAAGGATGACTGCTGATTTCTGTCTTGGATGCTGAGTGACTGGTGAAGCTGTTCTCTTGAGACAGATGAGCAGGTTGGAGGACACTGTGTCATGAACTCAGCGGTAATTCTAGGTTGTTCTTCATTTGGAAATTCTCTCTATAAATACGTATTATTTTAAGATAGAGTATATCAATAAGATGATTGCTTTATCTTTTAAGACCTAAATTTTTTCTTTTTTTTTTTTAGGTCATGTAGGAAATCATAAATCATGTGAAGATGGGACTCTTGGTATTTGTACGCAATCTGCTACTAGCCCTCTGCCTTTTTCTGGTACTGGGATTTTTGTACTACTCTGCGTGGAAGCTACATTTCCTCCAGTGGGAGGACTCCAGTAAGTACAGTCACTTCAGCCTAGCCCAGGAAAAGCCTGTTGCAGATCAGTTCTTGGGTCTTCATGTGGCTGTAGTGCTCTCCTATTCTTCAGAGATGGGCAGTGAGAGTAAACTGAACATTTCTGAGGCCTGGGCTTAGAAATTGCCTACCACTTCTGTTGCTGTAGGTTGAGAACGCTGATGTTTTTTAAAAACTGCATGCCATGGCAAATCCTTTTATGAATGCAGTGAAAATGTGCAGTTCTTCAATAAAACCCCAAACTATACCAGTACTTTCAGTTCTTGAATGTTGTCTTTTTAATTACTGTAGTGTATTGCTGCTCCCATTTGCTATTTGTCGCCATAGGGCTTGGAATTGAAGTTGGTTTTCTTCTGCCCTTAAAACATTCATCTTTATTTTTTCCTTGAATTTCAATGTAATATTGCCATTGTTTTGTTTTCCCTAAAGGAACTTTGTCTACTTAGTCTTTTTAGCCCTTGCTGCTACTGAACTTGTACCTGAATAGAACATGGCTTTTTTCTGCTAGCAGTAACTCCTGATGGCTTTCTTCCATTGGTACCTTAGGTCTCATGTGTTACGTGTGTTCTCCACATGGCCACCTGAGCCCCTCTGACTTGGTTTCGATTTACCCAGTGTTGCCTGAGTTTTGGTTTAGGCTTGCAGTTGAGGGCTTGCATTGAGTGGCACCAGCTTTGTGCATTCTCTTCTTGGCTGTAGCTTGAAGTATCACACAGTGAGCATAAGTAGTTTTCTTTTTGATTCTTTGGTCTAATGGCTATTGGAGATTGGTACAGGATATATTGGGTGGTCTCCCCTGATTCCCAGTGAGCATGTCTTCTCTAAAGTAGTTTTATTTTTATGAACATCTACTGGATACCAATGAGGAATTCACTTGAGAGTAGACTCAGTCTCTAGGTGTGAGGTTAACATGAGTTAGAATGAGTTGAAAGAGGCAACTGGTCTACTGTTGTATTGAGACCTTAACATGGGACCTGTTTCTCATGTGGCCCAAACTACTGAAGCAGTTTCAAGCCAATTTTTAAAATATAGTATTCAAAAAGAGGAGGATTGGCGTGGATGTTAGCTCAGGGCTGATCTTCCTCACACACATACAAAAAAATAAATAAAATAAAATATAGTATTATATCTTTAATTTGTTGTTTTATATGGAACATTTAAGTGCCTCTTAAATTCTTAGCTTATAATTATCACTAATTACTTTGTGTTTCTGGAATTTACTTAAATTTCTCTGTACCGATTTACTTTTAAAATCAAGGACACTACCTAGGATAAAGAGTGTTTATGTCAGTGCAATGCAGAGTTCTGTAGTTAGAGGCATTGTCTGTATCCATAATGGGTAGATTCATCTGTATCCATACAATAGATGGAAATATGTGTAAGGGTTGGGGTCTCTTTTTCTGTTAAGAGCTGTAGAAGACGCAACCAAGGGTTAGATAATATTTTTCTAGAGAAGTTGAGGAGGACATTAACTTTATGGAAGACTTATTGTGTGTCAAGTTTTAGGCTAGACAATTTACAAATTTAATTTAATTTAATTCTTAACTACAACCATGTGAAGATGCTATTATTATCCCCATTTTCCAGTTGAACAAACCGAACTGTTTAGTTTTTAAATTTTGTTTGTTTATTGCGGTAACATTGGTTTATAACATTGTATAAATTTCAGGTGTAGATCATTATACTTCTATTTCTGCATAGCTTACATCATATTCTCCACCCAAAGACTAATTATAATCCATCACCACACACATGTGCCTAATCATCCCTTTTGCCTTCCTCCCTCCTTCAAGTACCGTATGATCTCACTCATAAGTGGAAGAGAACAACAACAACAAACAAACACATAGAGATGGAGATTGGATTGGTGGTTACCAGAGAGGAAGGGGGGAGGGTGAAATGTTTAGTTTAATTAATTTACCAAAGTTACACAGTACAAGGAATGGGAGGTGGGTAAATGGAATTTTACTGTTGTAAGGTTATTACATTTTGAAAAGGAAATAAGAAGTGGGAAGAAGGAATACTGTGTATAAAGTGAGGGAAAGGTTAAGTAATAAGTATGCAATGTCAGAAGTGAAGAGGTATTATAATGATTCTGAATAGACTCTGATAAGTTCAGGATGTGTATTCCCTAGTAGAACTCCTTAGTAGAATAACTACTAAGAAAAGTAACAAAAAGAAGTATATATCTAAGAAGCCAATAGAAGAAATAAAATGGAACACTAAAAAAGTATTCAGTTAATCCCAAAGAAAGCAGGAAAACAGCAATATAAGAACAAAAGAGAAGGGGGAAATGGAAAACAAATGGTAAGATATATTATAATTATATTTAAATGTACATAGATTAAAACTCCAGTTAAAGGCAGAAATTGTCAGAATGGTTATAAAAATCATGATCTAACTGTGTCCTCATATAAGAGACATATATTTTAAATTTAAAGACAGATTCAAAGTAGAAGGATGGAAAATATATCTTATGTAAACAATAGGCATAAGAAAGCTTGCATAGCTGTATTAATTTCAGCAAATTATACTTCAAAACAAAGTATTACAAGAGATTAGAGAGGGTCATTACATAATGATGAAAAGAAATTCACCAGGAAGACAGATATAAATGGGTATTTACCTAATAAGAGAGTATCAAACTTTATTAAGCAAAAACTGATAAAATTAAAGGGAGAGAGAGACAAATTCACAATTATATTCAAATATATTAATACCCCTCTCTCAGTAATTAATAAAACAAGTTAAAAATCTTCAAGCATGTAGATCTAAGCAACACTCAACTACCTTCACCTAATTGACATTTATAGAACACTATACCCAATAACGGCAGAAAGCACATTCTTTTCCAGTGTACACATAATGTTCATTGAGACTGATCCTGGGCCATAAAATGTCTCAATGAATTTAAAAAGGTTGAAATCTTACAGAATATATTCTATGACTATGATGGAATTAAATTTGAAATCAATCGCAATAAGACGATGAGAACTGGAGTAGGCAGACTGGCTTGTAGGCCAAATCCAGCCTGCTGCCTATTTTTGTAAATAAAGTTTTCTCAGAACACAACCATGTCTGTTATTTACATACTGTTTGTTGCTGCTTTTATGCTACAGTGGCAACATTGAATAGTTGCGACAGAGACTGTCTGGCCTACAAAGCCTAAAATATTTATTATCTGGCCTTTACAGAAAGAGTTTGCTGACTCCTCAAAGATTTGAGTATTAAACAACAAGCTCTTAAGTAACCCACAGATTAAAGGAGAAACCACAAGAGAAAATAGAAAATATTTCAAGCTGGGTGACAGTGAAAATACTATATCTTAAAATTTGTTGCGTGCAGCAAGAACAATGCTTAGAGTAAAATTTATAGCTTTAAATGACTACATCAGAAAAGAATGTCTTAAAAACAGTGATCTAGGGGCCAGCCCGGTGGCGCAAGCGGTTAAGTGCGCGCGCTCCGCTGTGGCGGCCCGGGGTTCGCCGGTTCAGATCCCGGGCGAGCACCGATGCCCTGCTTGTCAGGCCATGCTGTGGCGGCATCCCATATAAAGTGGAGGAAGATGGGCATGGATGTTAGCCCATGGCCAATCTTCCTCAGCAAAAAGAGGAGGATTGGCAGATGTTAGCTCAGGGCTGATCTTCCTCACACACACACAAAAAAAACAGTGATCTATGTTTCCACCTTAAAAGGCTAAAAAAAGAAGGTCAAATTTAACCCAGAGTAAGTAGAAGAAATGATAGAGGTGAACAGAAATCAATGAAATGGAAAACAAACAATAGAGAAAATTAACAAAACCAATATTGGGTTCTTTGAAAAAGTTAATTGATAAATGCCTACCAAGAATAATCATGGATGATACCAAAAGCGCAGGTAACAAAAGAAAAAATAGACAAATTCTGATTCATCAAAACTAAAACTTTTGTGCATGAAAGGACACTATCAACAGAGTGAAAAGGCAACCTACAGAAGGGGAGAAGATACTTGCAAATCATATCTGATAAAGGATTAATATCCAAAATATGTAAAGAACTCCTGTAACTCAACAACAACAAAAAACCTGATTCAAAAATTGGCAAAGGACTTGCATAGACACTTCTCCAAAGGAGATATACAAATGGCCAAAAAACACATGAAAAGATGCTCAACATCACTATTAGGGCAATGCAAATCCAATCCATAGTGACACACCACTTCACACCCATTAGGACGGCTGTTATCAAAAAACAGAAAATAACAAGTGTTGGCAGGGAGTAGAGAGATTGGAACTCTCATTCATTGCTGTTGGAAACGTAAAATTGTGCAACTGCTGTGGAAAATGGTATGGTGATTTCTCAAAAATTTAAAAATAGAATTACCATGTGATCCAACAAGGAGTGAAAGCAGGGACTTAAACAAATATTTGTACACCCATACTCATAGCAATATTACCAAATGTCCATCAGTGGATGAACAGATAAACAAAATGGGTATATACATACAATGGAATATTATTCAGCCTTAAAAAGGAAATAAATTTTGATGCAGGCTACGTGGATGCTAAATGAAGTAAGCCAATCACTAAAAGACAAATATTGTGTGATTCCATTTATATGATGTTCCTAGAGTAGTAAAATTCATAGAGACAGAAAGTAGAATGGTGGTTGCCAGGGACTAGAGGAAATGGGGAGTCAGCTTTTAATGTGTACAGAGTTTTAGTTGGGAAAGACAAAAGGTTCTGGAGATGGATGGTGATGGATTCATAGCAGTGTGAATATACTTAATATCATAGAACTGTACACTTAAAATGGTTAAAATGGTTAGTTTTATGTTATGTATATTTTACTACAATAAATAAATATTTTTAATAAAGAAATAAGAGAAAACACAATGTATCGGTATTAGGAAGAGAAATGGCAATATTACTACAGATCCTACACACGTTAAAAGGGTAATAAGGGAATATTATGACCAATTTTATGCTATTAAAATTGACAG